ACTGACTCCACGCTTTCCCGCACTTGGCTCCTCTGCAAATTCTAATGGCTTCAAAATATGCCCAGCATTGGACCACTTCTCACAACCACCACGTTCACCACTCAGTTCCAAACCACTGTCATCTTTCAGCTGGACTGTCGCCACTGCTTTAGCCTCCAAAACCCAGCAATGTGTCTCCATGCCAGAGCCAAGTGACCTTTCCCAGGGGGAGCCAGGTCATGTCACATCTGCTCCATACCTGCCAAGGGCTTGCTCCAAGCGAGAGCCTGAGTCTGTGTCATGACCCTGAAGGCCCGGAGCGCTGCCTCCCCTCACACCTCCGCCTGCAGCCCACCACTCTCCCCTCCTTCTTTTCTTTGCAACCATGCTGATCTCCTATCTGTACTTCACACGCAGGGGGCACATCCACCTGAGGGCCTGTGCTTGGGCAGTTCCCTCTTTCTGGAACTCTCTTCTCCCAGATGTTCATGTAGGTTGCTCCCTCTCTTTCTTCAGAGTTTTATTGAAATGTCATGTCTCAGAGGAGCCTTCATTGGCGTCACTCTTACTGTCCTTCCCAACAGACTCTAAGTTGCATGAGGATAGGGTTTTGATCTCTTTTGCTCCAGCACCTGTTACAGCTGGGCCAGGCCCCAACAGTGGGGAGCTGGTTTCTTAATACAGACAAGACTCAGTGCTCAAACATCATGGGAGTCTGAGCAGGGAAGCTTAAAGATCTTCTCAGTGTGCTGGCTGGTAGTACCCCCTCCTCGGCCCAGTGTGCTAAGAGATCGCAGTCTCCCACACATTTGTTCTAGTCCCACATTTCTGCAATCAGTCTTCATTCACTAAATGTTTTTGAGAGCCCATCATGTGTGCAGGGCTTTGATAGCTTTCAACAAAAAGTTTAACCAAAGATGAATCCTGTGAGCTGGCAGAGCCATATTGCCAGCCTTTTCTCTAGAGCCCAACTGTGGACACATCAACACCCTCCCTCGCCCTGCTCTGTCCTTATCCCTGGACAGAGCCAAGCATGGACTCCCTGCCTACTACTCCCCTCATCAGATCCTTTCTCCCAAGGTCACATTTCAAGGTCAACAGGATGAGGACAGTCTGGCCCTCCATGTCAGCCTCTCTTCCACTGCCTACCTCACAGTTACCAAGCCCTATCCTGATGGGCAGAGCCCCCAGCCCCCACAGACTCCCTGGGTTACATCCATTTCCAATCACGGAACCGGGAGAATGTAAAATCACATACATGCCTTTCTTTGGCCCTGTGCTACATTTTCATTCCTCACATTGCTCTAAGTTAGCAGTCAACAGATGTGGTCACATCACTCATCCTATCTCCACCCCAAACACTGCAGTGCCTTTGGAGAGAAAGGAATGGGTTGACCCTATCTTTGGGGAGCTGGAGACTGAGGACTTTTAGGATATTGAACCAGCCTCTTCCTCCCTCCCTGCTTTAGAAACCAGGCAGGATCCAGCTGTCCTAACCAGGTTACTGACACCTCCAGCACCCATTGCCTGCCCAGCCAGGCTTCTTCGTCATAGCCCCTTTGTTGACCACTGATCTCTCTTCAAGTCTTTCAAGGTAGGGAAGGGGGAAACAGTCCAGTGCAGGGGTTTGGGGCTAGGTTTGGGGATAAGGTGCCAGGGTTCAGTCCCCTCTTTTTAGGACTTGCTCAAGGAAACATGACATATATTGGTTTTGTTGACTAATGTTGGAATGCCTGTTGCCACGGCAGCAGAGCACTCCCACTGTAGATGAGGATGGTGGGAAACATGGGATGTGAAAGAAATCAAAGCAGAGCCAGATGGAGGGAGAGGTTGCATTAGAGAGCATCAGAAAGTTCCAGGATACCAAGAGGACTATTGAAAAGGACCAGTACCTGGCATGGAAAGACCCTCAAAGAGTGACAGGATCAGCCCTGAAAGGATGGCACTCCAGGGGTCCACCCTGAGCTAACTCATGGGATCCACCTCAAAAACTGACAAGTGGTATGTGCTGCAGGGGGCAATGGGCTTGAGGTCTAGGTGGCAGGGTGGGTCTGCATCTCCTCTGGGCAGTCTGCTCAAAAGGAGCAGAATTCCAGGGGCTGTTTATGGAAAGGAGGAGAAGGCCTTGGGATTTGGGGAATATAATATCCCATGAGAGGAGGCAAAGAATACAGAGAGGAGGAGGAGGAGGAGGAACTAGGCTAAAACACAGACCCAAAGGAGGGATGAGATAACCAGGCAGGAAAGAAGGAAGTTCAGGGCCCCGGGGCAGTGGGCATCCAGTGACATGGACATGCAGGTGGACAGAGCAGCAAGCGGAATAGTGTTTCATAGCAACTCTAAAGAACTGAACCACCAGAGATGAGGGGCAAAATGGAACCAATGAAGAGAACATGAGGTTTTGCCTGCACTGAATGAGTAGGTTATGGTGAGCATAATGCTTTTCAAGCAAGATGCTTAGCAGTTCATTTATTTTTGATAAGGAGATGAATTTATATACAGGAAGAAAACTTACAGACAAGAAGCAAGAACTACTGTAATCTGATAAATTGGACTATAGGTGTCCTTAGATTCTCCAGGTGCTGTTTTTAGGAAAGGCAGGGTTCCCATATGATTGATACAGGGACATCTTGTATAAATTATACAGTGGGCATGAGCAAGGATGAGGATGTAGAAATGATGGTTTGTGGCATCGTTACACATGGCTTGTGGGTGGGGAAGGGGGGATGGTTATACTTATTCAAAAATTTGACACCAAAGATGAGGCTTCATCCCTTTCATGAGCTGAAGCCTGATGTCCAGGCATGCGCATGACACTTCCTGCGTCCCATGCCTGGCCTCATCCTTTGTGCCCTCTGTACCTGGCCAATTCTGCATGATTGCACTTCTTTCCTCTTAACCAGCTCTTTCCTGCTTGTCATTTCCTATCTGGACTCACAATTCCTGGCCCCCCTGAATTTCTAAGAGCTGGGCCAGGCCTCTAAGGACAGCAGGCCTCATGTTCTGTGCCTCAGGACCTTTTGGTAGCTTTTGGCACTCCACTCCTTTAAGGCAGTGCCTGTTGTCATTCTGGTAATTAGAACATACACACACCTATGCCTGTCTACTTGTAAGGAATAGGTGGGACATTGACTTTTTACAGGGACAGGGTTATTTCCCTGAGTCTTGTGTTGTCTGCCTTGTATTTCTTGCTAGACAGAGTTCCTTAAGGGCACTTTCTCTATCTCCAAGGCCAGCCAAGGGCCCGTGCCCCTTTCTGTTTCAGAATCTTGTGTTCTCAGTATTGTGAGTCTGCTATGATCCCTGTCCTTGAAAATTTTATGGCATCTCCATTCAGCTCTAGGATCGTGAAGGCAGGAAGTCCTGGGCGCCAGCCAGGACCAGAGTCATGCAGGATACAGACCCAGTGTGCAGCCTGGAGGTCTCCAAACCCTTTTAACCACCACAGCTACAACATCTGCTCCATGCAAGTGCTGAGAGAGGCAGTTCCCAGCTCCAATGAGGGTGTATCCATAAGTGTCTCTCACACCAGCCAGGCTTGATGCTCAGTGCTAGGAGAGTGAGCAAACCAGGGAACACCGACACAGAGGTCTTCAGATTCAAGGGGGAAGGAGAGGAGGAGCTGGAGTGATGGAGGCTGGGGATGGGGTGAGGAGTAATCAGATGGTTATTGTGTTCTGGCACCATTCCTGAGCTTTACAGCCCTAACATGTAGCTGTACCTGGAGCCTGCCCTTCCTGCAGCAAGCTTGCTGATAGAGCATTCCCTCCACTAGCTCCTGCCCATTGCCTCTCCGGAGAGCCTTTGTCTTGGACAATCTGACCCTGACTTGGGAGGCCATGGGAAATAGGTAGCGCCACCTTCTATACAGGCAGGCGGGGTGGGTTTGGAGGGAACAGTCCTGGGTAAGATGCTGCCTGCTCTGCCTGGCTCTTGCTGTCCCTCACCTCACCCCTCTTCCCTGGCCCCAGGTAGGAGAAAAGAAAGAGCAGGGCTGGAGATATGTCCTTTTAGATAGCCTAGCAGTCCTGCTTCAGGGCTGGCAATGTTAAACTTCTCCTGAGTCCCAATATTTGACCCAGGACTTGATCCCCCAAGCCCTTTCACCTAGGAATCTGGTATTGTAGAGGGATAGTGAGCCAGAGGGTGTTAATGACTTTGGCAAGGTCATGCAGGCAACTGGAATGGGAACCCCGACTCTATCCCAAGGGCTGGTCCCTTTCTCCAGTGCCCTCAGCTTCCTACCCCATCACTCAGCCCTCTCTACCTTCTGTGCCCAGAAGAGCACCTTGTGTCTCAGATATAAGGTAGGAAAAAGCGTCTCCAGGGGAAAACATCTCCTCAGCTGATGCCTTCTCCTGCAGAGGACCACCCGTGTCCTCTGAGAACCCAGCCCTCCTCTAAACTGAGAGCCAGGACACAACCCGGCCCTCTCTTTTATTTGCCCCCTACCCCTCACTCGTCCACCCCCAGCTCGCTTGCAGATACCTCCCCCTCCCAAGCCAGAAATAGACACACACGCTCTTCCCACCTCCCTCCTCTCGCGCACACTCCTCCCCTCCTCCTGTTTGCTCCCCGCCTTCTCCTCCCCTGCTTCCTCCCTCGGAGCTGCAGCCCGCAGCCTTTGCTGGAGCGGGCAGCCGAGTGCGGGAGGGCGCTGCCCGGCGGTGCCCAGCCCGCGGTACTGGGACTGGGAGGCTGCGGCCAGGGCCGGGCGCGGCGGCACCTCTGGGCTTCGAGGCGGCCTCGGGGTTTCTATCCTTCCTCTGACTGATTTTTAATTTTTAATTTCTTTCCCCGTCCCGCCCCTTTTCCTTCGACCCCGCCCCATTGCTTCACGGCTTCCGTGCTCTTTCCTTTGCCCCTGCTTCCTTCCTCGCGTTTCTTTCCTGGGCGACCCCGGCTCGGCTTCCCCATCCTCCCGTGCTGCTACACCCTCCTCTCCCTTCTTCCTCGGTTTCTTCCGTCCTCTCCCCCTCCTCCGCCTGCTCCCCGCCCCCTCCCCCGCCCTGTGCCTGCAGACGCGCAGATCGTCCATGCGCTCCTCGCGGGCAGAATGCTGGGCAGCAGCGTCAAGAGCGCGCAGCCTGAGGTGGAGCTGAGCAGCGGTGGCGGCGACGAGGGCACGGACGAGCCGCGGGGAGCCGGCAAGAAGGCGGCTGCAGCCGACGGCCGAGGCATGCTGCCCAAGCGCGCCAAGGCGCCCGGCGGCGGCATCGGCATGGCCAAGGCCAGCGCAGCTGAGCTGAAGGTCTTCAAGTCCGGCAGCGTGGACAGCCGTGTACCTGGAGGGCCACCCACCTCCAACCTGCGCAAACAGAAGTCGCTCACGAACCTCTCGTTCCTCACTGACTCTGAGAAAAAGCTGCAGCTGTATGAGCCCGAATGGAGCGACGATATGGCCAAGGCACCCAAGGGTTTGAGCAAGATGGGGTCTAAGGGCCGCGAGGCCCCGCTGATGTCCAAGACACTGTCCAAGTCTGAGCACTCGCTCTTCCAGGCCAAGGGTAGCCCGGCGGGCGGCGCCAAGACACCCCTGGCCCCTCTAGCGCCCAGTCTGGGAAAACCCAGCCGGATCCCGCGCGGACCCTACGCGGAGGTCAAGCCACTCAGCAAGGCGCCGGAGGCGGCGGTGAGCGACGATGGCAAATCGGATGACGAGCTGCTCTCCAGCAAGGCCAAGGCGCAGAAAGGCTCCGGGCCAGTCCCCCCCGCCAAGAGCCAAGAGGAACGCGCCTTCCTCAAGGTAGACCCCGAGCTCGTGGTGACCGTGTTGGGCGACCTGGAGCAGCTGCTCTTCAGCCAGATGCTGGGTGAGTCCTGCCGCTCCGCCCCACCCCGCCCCAGGCTTTCGCCTGGCCAGCTGCAGGGGAAGGTGGGGAAAAGCAGAGCTTCCTCCCTTGCCCCATCTCCGTGGGACTCTGCTGATCACTGAGCCGGTGAGGAGGGGCATTGAGCACAGATGTGCAGGGCCCACCTCTAAACGCGCCATGGCTAAGTGTGTCTTCAAGACGCCAAACGTGAGAGCTCAGGCCCTACTCTGGCCTGCCTGAGGTGAGGCTAGACAATGGCTTAGAGAGTTAGGTTCTCAGAAATAGAGCCCAGTAGTGTCCTGTAATTTTAAAGTCCAGAATTCTGATGTGGCAAAATGTGGGGCTGGGAGAGACCTCTGCTGTGGAGACAGGAGAGCATCAGCCTTGCTGCGGACGTCTTTTGGGGAGAGCCTGCATCTAGAGGACAGATGTGGGGAGAGCAGATGTCAGCGCCAGTTGGCTCTGGAGCTGAGCTGAGGCTCTACTTCCTCTGTGGATCCCGGGTGGGAGCACGAGTCGGATTTCCCGGGTGTGGGGGTTCTTGGCAAGGAGAAACGTCTGGGGCTAAGGGCCTGGCGGACAGCCAGCTGCACACATCTGGATGCGCATCTTACACCTCAGCCCTGGCACTGGCCCCAGTCCCCTAATCCCCAGCCCTGGGTCTTTTAGAGAAAGGTCTAGATTTTTGTGCTGAGACTCCGCTTTGACCCTTTGGCTAATGGAAGCCGAACAGGCGGGAAGGGAGGAACAAAGATTGCTCTAGTGGAGGAAGCGCTGAGAGCTGCTCCATTGTTCTCTGAGCCTGAGAGCCTGAAGAGCCCCTGCAAAAAATCCGGTGCGGCTCGCTAAAACTGCTTGCTATCGCTAGGCCCCCTGCCCTCAGGGACTGATGGATCAGGGATATTCTGGACACCGAGCTACTGAGCCACGGGAGCCCACAAGGGTGGGTTGTTGGGGCTATGGAGGAGGGGGAAGGAAGGCCAGCGAGGGCTGGAGCCCAGGCGAGACGCTGTGATTGTGCTAACTTGTTGCGGTGGCTGGACTGTGAGTCCTCCAGAGCTGGCACAGTGGGATGCTAGCTTGCTGGTCCTCTGCATGCTGTCCGCCGCGCTGGGGGCTGGGAAGGGGCGTGTATGTGCGTGTGAAGGGGCGGGGCCGAATGACGGGCAGCAGTCTGAGTGATGGGTGGATGAGAGGAGCTCTCTTGGTCGACCTGTAGAAGATGAAACTGGAGGAGATTGGTTGGGTCTACTGCAGTCTTCCTGGGCATCCCATTTTTCCCCAGCTCCGGAGTGAGCCAGGATGAGGGTCTTCTGACCAGGTGCAACGATTTCAGCTGTTCTGAGAACTGATCCTTACACAGGCCATAGATGGACTTTGCAGAGGCAGTCAGGAGACTGGACAAGGGCAAAAAGGGAAGAGCAGCCTGGTCCCTAAAGAAGCCCTCCTGAAAGTCAGGGCTTTGTGGGGTAGCTGGGGATGGGATGGGCCAGGGCAGAGTGGCAGGGGACCTTCACACTGCACAGGATGTTTGCCATCCCATGCCCAGAGCCTGCTGAGCCTGCCCTCAAGGTGCTTGCAGTTCAGTGGGCTTAGACAGACAGCATGGGGAAAAATATAATAATCGTAGGCCTGAAGGAAGGCTGCAGAGAAAATGATACTGGACTGTGCAGGGAAGAGCTGGAAAGGGAGGCCTGCTTAGGCCTGCTGAAGGTAGAGTAATCAGATTGTGATTGAGGCAGAGGAGGCAGCAGCCTGATAGGATGAACATTCTTTGGAGACTCAGAAGAGGTTGGGCCCTTCTGTGTGACTTATGTTGGGCACAGACTAGCAGAGGACACAGGCCTGTGTTCAAGGTCAGGGCTTCCCCTAGTTGGGGTGACTGTAGCCCATCTGGCCCTCCCCTGTCCTGGCAGTGTTCCACACTGCCCTAGGACCTGGCTATCCTTTGAAGACCTCTTTGTGGCTTCACAAAAATGTGTGACCACAGAAACATTGACAGCCAGTCCTAGAACTGGCTTGGAGCTTGGGAGGAGAAGCTGAGCTGTAGTCCAACATTCCTGCTGAGTGGCTGTCACTTCTCTGGGGACACTTCCATGGGAGCCTCTCAGCAGCCATGGGGTGAGGAGAGAACACTGCTTTGGCTGTCTAGACGGTGAGAGGTAGGGCCAAAAGGATGAGGGTCTGTCACCTCTGAGTTGATTGTGGCAGGGAGATTCTGCATTTGTTTCCTTAGACCTCCTCATATCTCTTTCTAGAAAACTTGACTGAGAGAAGAAGGATGTAAAAGGTGCAGAGGGGCCTGATCAAGGTGGTGTCTGCTGGCACAGGCCACCAGAGCTGTCTTGAGGACACTGAGAGGGCAGAGGGACAGTGCTGTCAGCTGAGAGAGGCGAGCTGGGAGAGTTGGCTGAGCTGGCTGGACTGTGAGGTCCAGGGTGGGGTGGGCCCTAGGAAGCAGTGCTTGGCATCAGGTGGGTGGGGTGTCAGCTGGTAATTCCAGGCCAAGGTTTTCTCCTATGCAAAGGTGAACTGACCAGTAAGAGTACATAGAAAGGTAGAAAAGATTTGCTTCCCAGGAACCATGAGGTGTTCACTTGTCAGGACAGGCCCTTGGTCTACAGCAAGGTGGTTCTGAAGATAATGGCTGATATCTAAGGATGGTGGCTAAAGACACAGGAGATTTGACCCCACTCATGAGGCTCATTGTCAGGCTCTGCACACTCTCTGGTACTGTCTCAGACCCAAGAAGCTGCCAAGACCCAGTTTCTGAGGCAGATGGTGGGGGGAGGTGAGGCAGCCCCAAAGAAGAGCCTTTCTGGAATAAAAGGGAAGAACTGAAACCTGATCATCCCCTTTCTAGAAATCAGCTGGGGCCCAGATGGTTTAGACAGGCTCTCTGTCCCTTCCCCATACATGGAAGCTGCCAAGTAATAGGGTCCCACTGGGGAACCCTAGCAACTTAGAAGACTGAGGGGTGGGTCTTAGGGAAAATGGCCCAACTCCAGGAATCAGAGACCTTAGTCTACAAAATGTAATTTGGCACAATGAGGAAGACTACCAAGCCTGGGGCAGGGACAAGGCAGTAAGATACTTCCTCTAAAGGCCCTGTCCACAAGTCCTAAACTCTGGGTCCTCCCCTGGGGCTTAGTTTCTCCGTTTGTGAGTAGAAGATACTCTCCCATGACTCATCCTTACCCTGTAGGGATGGGGTGGTGATTAGACCTGGAAAATGTCCCACATGGTTTAAAGAGAGCATATAATGATGCACAGCATTTGAACAGTACAAGAACACTCCTCTTCCTCATTGGCTTGTCCTGGCCTCGGAATTGCAGACTACATAGAAATGAGAAAGGTATGAGAAGGAAAGAGAAGAAAGGAAGCTGTCTATTTCCTTTGGGTAGCTAAGAAAGGAAAGGAAAGGAAAGGAAAGGAAAGGAAAGGAAAGGAAAGGAAAGGAAAGGAAAGGAAAGGAAAGAAGGAGAAAGAAAGGAAGCTATCAATTTCTAAGCTCTTTGCTTGCCTGGCTGGTCGGGTAAGGCAAGGTTACTTCAGAGCATTTACTCAGGGATAATTTGGGATGAACTGTCTTCACACATCTTTTTCCCTTTTTATCCAGTGCTTTGGAGAGTAGGGTGGGCAGAGGATATGTGAACTCTGCAAAAACCTGCTGCCCTGATGTGTGAGCACAGCCAGCACCCCCACCCCAGTGTCAGAGGGCCCACCCAGAGCCATGCCTGTTATTTCCAGGGGTTCCCCTGGCCTAGGAGAAGAGCATGGATGATGCTCATTTCTTTCCCTCCCCTAGCAGGGCAGGCTTATGCCATCACAGGCCACAGGAAGGGCTGTGGCAGGTACAGGCCCATGGGCATTTGTATATTGTGTGGAGCAGGAACTGGCCTAGAGCCTCAGAGTGGTGAAGCTTCCTACCTTCCCCAGGGTTGCACTCAGGAGAACATTACTTTTTGTGCTGTGATGAGGGTGTTTTCTTCCATGACCAGGCTTGGGCCTCCACCCGAGGGGCTGACAAGAGGTCCTGCTCTTCCGCTCTGGCCATGGCCTTGCTCAGACTGCTGCATCTGGAGCTGTTCTCACAGGGTAGTCCAGATTCTGCCTTAAGACAGGCCCTCCACTCTGAGGAGATGGCACAGATGGAGCAGACGTGCTGCTCTGACTCCAGCAGCTGCTTTGGTTCCCTGAAGCATGAACTGACCCAGGGAGATGGCTTTTACCATCCATGATGGCTTCAACCCCAAACACAGGCCTATCTAGACCTGGTTTGAATGATTACCATGTCAACCAAAACCTTAGGGTGTTTCCTGACCTCCCTCTTGTTCCATGTTTCCCCAGTTCCTCACCCGCTCTGCTTCTGGGACTTCGGCTACCTCCTCCCTAGCTCCCCCATCCCAGGCTGCCAGCACCAGATCCTTGCTTTTATGCAGAGCCCCTCTGCACATGTCCATCCCTGACAGCCTCTAATCCCAGGGCTGAAGGCACAGGGTGCCTCCTGTGGCTCTTGGGAGAAAGAATCCCCCACGGATCCTGCTGAGCAGAGCTCCCTGCTCCCTGACTGCAGCTCAGCACCCTGCAGTGTCTCCCTGGACAGCTAGTGTGAAAAGTCCCCTCCTCTCTGCAGAGCACTCCGCCTTGCTCAACCCTTCATGGGATCTCATAGAACCACAGAATGGAAATCGTCTAGTGGAGCCTCCCACTTAAAGCTGAAACTAATCCTTCTATAGCATCACAGGCAGGTGGGTGTTCTGTTTACTCACTCCTAGTGACAGAGGGCTCACTACCTTATTTTCCTGAAAAGCATTCATTACTAGAGCGATCTTCCTTTGTTTTAAATGTTAAGCCAAGATTCTATCTTCTGGGAATTTCCATCCATGACCTCAATTTATTCTCTGGCTAGTTAGAGATTCAGCTAGGGCCATTCACGAATTTCTTATATTTGAGGTCAGACAGCTGTCTAAGCTCAATGCCATCATTTCTTGCTTGGC